GGCGCGATGCAACGCAACACGTAAAAAGACAGTATAAGTCATTATAATCCGTAATTATGTCCACACTGGATGCAACAAATGCCTCGTTTATAATGGGTTTTAATATTTTTGTCTCGTCGCTACGGGACACAGCATCACAGTATGGTAAGGGGCATAACATTTCGGTCACACCCTTGAGGTATTCGGCCAATCAGAGCACACCTCGCTTTTCAGACCGATGAGCGTTGTAAAAATAGACGCGTTTCAGAAAGGCGGGGCATAGAGGAGAAACAATAATGTACAGTATGTGGAAAATAATGTGTTATTTGATTTATAAATCTGGACATCACAACAAGAGCACTAGCTCAAGTTCTCAACATCCAAATGTGGAAAATATCAGAAAAGACATTCCAACAGCCAAAAACCAGCAGACTGGCATGGACTCAGATATGTGACACTGGACCACAAAACCTGGGGTATATTTATTCGGGTATACCTGGGTCTTAATTCGCTGGGGTATATTTGTAGCAATAGCCAAAAATACATTGTATGGGTCAAAATTATAAATTTTTCTTTTATGCCCAAAATCATTAGGATATTAAGTAAAGATCATGTTTCATGAAGATATTTTGTAAATTTCCTACCGAAAATATATCAAAACGTAATTTTTGATTGGTAATATGCATTGCTAAGGACTTCATTCGGACAATTTTAAAGGTAATTTTCTCAATATTTAGATTTTTTTTGCACACTCAGATTCCAGATATTCAAATAATTGTATCTCGTCCAAATATTGTCCTATCCTAACAAACCATGCATCAATTGAAAGCTTGTTTATACTGCTTTCAGATGATGAATAAATGTCAATTAAAAAAAATTAAAATTAAAAACTTGTGACTGGTTTTGTTGTCCAGGGTTGTAAGTCATTATAATCAGTAATTATGTCCCCACTGGATGCAACAAATGTCTCATTTGTAACGGGTTTTATTGGTTTTGTCTCGTCCTGCTGGGAGACGGCATCACAGTATGTTAAGGGGCGTAACATTTCCATCACACGCTTGAGGTATTCGGCCAATCACAACGCACTGGATAGCTGGCCAATCAGAGCACACCTAGCTTTTTTAGAACGATGAGCTTTGTAAAAATCGACGCGTTTCAGAAAGGTGGGGCATAGAGGAGAAACAATAATGTACATTATGTGGAACATAATGTGTTTTTTTAACCTTAAACCGCATAAACACATTTCATTACACCAAATACACAAAATAATGTTCTTTTTAGCAACGTCATATGACCCCTTTAAGATGAATAACTTATTTAAATTATATACTTTATTCTATTTCATAGGAAGAAAGGTATAAATATTATGTTGAATGTCTGGCAAGACTTATGGGTTATGTACTGTATATGCATGTGTAACAAAGCTGTGAATTGTGATGTGATTGCAAAGTGATGACAGAACACAACCACTTATTTTAGCTTGGTTACATCAAGTTAGGTGACTGTGTGTATTATTTGAAGTATTCAAATGGCAGTATCAAACATAAGATTTATAGAATTTTGCACATTCTAAAACCGTATCAAATATAGAATACTATGTAGAAAATAGAAATATGAAATAGAAAATGATGATAGAAATACTAGATTTTCCAAATATTATACTTGTCTTTTATTACCATAAAAGGGCATATTTCCAACACGATAGAGCATTAACTTTTAGCGACAGTACCCGGATATTTGAATTCTGAATCGCCACAATACGTACCTGAAGAAACGTAATAAAAACACAGCAATACGTACCTATATTAACATAATAAAAACGTGCCAGGGTTCACGTATTGAACCCGCGTTTTAGCGCCACTCAGTGGACATTTCTCTTTGAAACTGCAGCGAAACGTGCAGTAAGGTACGTAAAAACGGTGTTGCAGAAATGTACGCAGAGGTATGTATTTTTATGAGACTGGGTTGATTTTGTTTGACATGCGCACACTGCACAAATATAGAGTTTCTCAACTGTTTGCACATAATAACCACTCTCCTACACGGTTTCTTTATTTGTTTTTAATATACATATAAACTGCTGTGCTGTGCTGCTCATATTTATCACGCAGTAAAAATGCCCCTCCCAGCGCCCAAAACGGGTTGCCTGTGGATGAGAATCCAAAACAAGGACTGGTGGGAAGTTGTCCTGCTCCACTTCACAGTTGCATAGTGAAAGGAGAGTTTTATAATGACAGGACATGCATTCATTCAACACTTTATTCAAAAGGAAGATCCGTTCGTTCCACGCGTCATACGTCAATTATGCTATTTCTGCGTCACTGCACATTCGCAGGTTTTTCAGTTTCGGGGTTCAATCTGATCGAGTGTTTACATGCACTCTCAATCGTATTAGAAAAGGAATGAACCGCCCCCTTCAATCCGATCGAAATTTCATTCCGATCGAGCTCAGTCGGATCGATTAGGGTGTTTAGGTATTTACATTTCAGTCCGTTTGAGCCGTCAATCCAATTACAAACGGATTATTTGGTTGCATGTAAACGTAGCCAATGCGCCAATGCCGGGTGAAGGAAAATAAGCAAGACAAGACATGACAAGAAATTCCACTGTAAGGTGAGTGCATAAGGGAGTGGCTCGTCTGTGTAAGGAATGAATATAAATAAAGGTAATATGCTTTCACAAACCAGTTGAAATCAGTTAGATCAGTAAACTTAGAAGACTGATTAAAATATGTTGCAAACAGCCCTACAAAGAAGAACATGTCAAACTGTCAGTGTATCTTTAGTTAATAACCAAATATAAAACTGGAGGAAAGGTAAGAGATAAATCTTCATAATTTACACTCATATTAATGATCATGCATGCATGTTGGGTATTGGTAAGGTTGCACAGAAACTGTGTTTAACAGAAATCTACTCTGCATTTATTAACTATTTAATTTTTTTTATACAATTAAAAGTGTGAGTATTCTCAGATTTTTTTTAGCACAATTTACCATATTTAAATCATACTATAAATTTCCTCCACATAAAAGAAATGTGACACAATTGTTCAGATTTAGTAAGGACTTTAAAATGATTCAGTCTTAAAATGGGTACTGGTCAATCATGAAATAAAACATTAGACTTAGAGTAAAGATTAGATTGGCGCAACTGTACTTGCAATTTCTTTCTTTCTTTCTCTTTCTTTCTTTTTTATATTTTGTTTGAAGGACTGGCAACCTGTAGACTGAAGAAACAAAACTTGACAGCATGACATCAGGTATGTTTTTAAAAGAATGACTTGTAAACGGTGAATGCCTCAAAAAATGACCAGTAAAATTCTCAGAATCATAGGGGTCATGCAAGTTTTAAAATGCCATGACGGTGAATAAGCAATGTTTTATTTATTTATTTTTGTAAAGACAAAAGGCTTTCTGAGATTAGAATCATACTGGCGTGCCAGGGTTCACGTATTGAACCCGCGTTTTAGCGCCACTCAGTGGACATTTCTCTTTGAAACTGCAGCGAAACGTGCAGTAAGGTACGTAAAAACGGTGTTGCAGAAATGTACGCAGAGGTATGTATTTTTATGAGACTGGGTTGATTTTGTTTGACATGCGCACACTGCACAAATATAGAGTTTCTCAACTGTTTGCACATAATAACCACTCTCCTACACGGTTTCTTTATTTGTTTTTAATATACATATAAACTGCTGTGCTGTGCTGCTCATATTTATCACGCAGTAAAAATGCCCCTCCCAGCGCCCAAAACGGGTTGCCTGTGGATGAGAATCCAAAACAAGGACTGGTGGGAAGTTGTCCTGCTCCACTTCACAGTTGCATAGTGAAAGGAGAGTTTTATAATGACAGGACATGCATTCATTCAACACTTTATTCAAAAGGAAGATCCGTTCGTTCCACGCGTCATACGTCAATTATGCTATTTCTGCGTCACTGCACATTCGCAGGTTTTTCAGTTTCGGGGTTCAATCTGATCGAGTGTTTACATGCACTCTCAATCGTATTAGAAAAGGAATAAACCACCCCCTTCAATCCGATCGAAATTTCATTCCGATCAAGCTCAGTCAGATCGATTAAGGTATTTACATGAAGGCTTTTCAGTCCGTTTGAGCCGTCAATCCAATTACAAACGGATTATTTGGTTGCATGTAAACGTAGCCAATGCCAAGAAGAAGGGTGAAGGAAAATAAGCAAGACAAGACATGACAAGAAATTCCACTGTAAGGTGAGTGCATAAGGGAGTGGCTCGTCTGTGTAAGGAATGAATATAAATAAAGGTAATATGCTTTCACAAACCAGTTGAAATCAGTTAGATCAGTAAACTTAGAAGACTGATTAAAATATGTTGCAAACAGCCCTACAAAGAAGAACATGTCAAACTGTCAGTGTATCTTTAGTTAATAACCAAATATAAAACTGGAGGAAAGGTAAGAGATAAATCTTCATAATTTACACTCATATTAATGATCATGCATGCATGTTGGGTATTGGTAAGGTTGCACAGAAACTGTGTTTAACAGAAATCTACTCTGCATTTATTAACTATTTAATTTTTTTTATACAATTAAAAGTGTGAGTATTCTCAGATTTTTTTTAGCACAATTTACCATATTTAAATCATACTATAAATTTCCTCCACATAAAAGAAATGTGACACAATTGTTCAGATTTAGTAAGGACTTTAAAATGATTCAGTCTTAAAATGGGTACTGGTCAATCATGAAATAAAACATTAGACTTAGAGTAAAGATTAGATTGGCGCAACTGTACTTGCAATTTCTTTCTTTCTTTCTCTTTCTTTCTTTTTTATATTTTGTTTGAAGGACTGGCAACCTGTAGACTGAAGAAACAAAACTTGACAGCATGACATCAGGTATGTTTTTAAAAGAATGACTTGTAAACGGTGAATGCCTCAAAAAATGACCAGTAAAATTCTCAGAATCATAGGGGTCATGCAAGTTTTAAAATGCCATGACGGTGAATAAGCAATGTTTTATTTATTTATTTTTGTAAAGACAAAAGGCTTTCTGAGATTAGAATCATACTGGTTGGAGGTCGAGATGTTTTTGGAACAGAAAAAAGTGGAAAAAGTACAACAGGAAACATCATTCTGGGCAGAAATGCTTTTGAAGTTGGAAGAAGAACCGCCCGGTCTGTTAAAGCAGAGGGAGAAGTACATGGAAGACATGTGACTGTGGTTGACACACCAGGCTGGGTGTGGTGTTGCTCTGTGGAAAACACTCCAAACTTTGACCGACTGGAAATCATGAGAAGTACAACACTGTGTCAACCTGGACCTCATGCCTTTCTTCTGGTCATTCCTGTCAATTCTACTTTTCCACATATCTGTAGAGCTCCTTTGGAGAGTCAACTTGAGTTATTGTCAGATAAGATCTGGAAACACATTATTGTGTTGTTCAGCTGTGTTGCTCCTTTGAAAAAAAAAATTAAAGAAAGTCAAGACATGATGTGGCTTGTAGGTAAATGTCAGAACAGATATCATTTTCTAAACATTAAAAGTTGTGCAGATTGCTCTCAAGTGGTCACGCTGCTGGAAAAAATTGAAGAAATGGTAGCCCAAAACAATGGCCATTATTTACAAATTGACAAAGGCATCTCCGTAGGAGATAAGCAAGACATAGGAAGTGCAAAAGCAAACAGACAAAAAACAGTACTCCAAGCATGCATTAGAGGTAAGAAAATCTTACATGGATGCCTTATTTTAGAGTCAATGAATATGACAATATGGACAATATGTTTATTTGACTGATGCATTCATTACTTTACAAAAATATGTCTGTATACTGATGCAATGATTTCATCCTGGAACTGTGCTGAATGTGGAACTGTTTCTTTGTTATGTAAACTATAAGGTTATTGATTGATTGATTTTGAATCAGAAATATAATTTTACAAGCTCTCTCCTATTTAGATGCGAAACAACATAAGACTGATATACGGATTGTGCTTATTGGAGGAGTACAGGGTGCCAAGAGTTCTGCAGGCAACCTCATTCTGGGCAAAAAAGTTTTTGCAGTTAATAGACCAAAGACATTAAGGACAACAGTGTGCTGTGCAATTAATCAGGCTAAAGTGCACAATAGGAGACTGACAGTGGTCGACACTCCAGGCTGGTACTACAACTATCCTGTTGAAAAGACGCCAGAGATGGACAAACTGGAGATCAGACGCAGTGTGCATCTATGTGCACCTGGTCCACATGTAATTTTGTTAATTATTCCTATCCTCGCATGTCTTGAAATGACAGTTCACACAGCTGTGGAGAAACACATGGGTCTTTTAGGGGAAAAGGTCTGGAATCATACAATTGTGCTGTTCACGTGGGGAGATTGGCTTGGGGACACAACTATTGAAGAACGTATTGAAAAAGAAGACAAACATCTTGAGCTTCTGATTGAAAAGTGTGGGAACAGATACCATGTTTTTAACTGTAAGAATCACACTGACCGCACACAAGTCACAGAACTTTTGGAGAAAATTGAGGAAATGATGATAGAAAACAACAACTCTCACTACGTACCAGAGATGGAAAGCAATCCGTGTCTGGAAATTGACCTGATGCTGAAAACAACTAAAACAAACATGACAAAAATGAATAGGCAAACCCAAATAATTCAAGAGCTGCTAAGAGGTAAGTACCGTTTTATTGTCCATAATCTGGCAAATTATATATTGCCAAAATTAATAATTCTTTATACGCATCCTTCCACTTCCTCTGAATACTAGAAATAAAGCTGGCAGAATTGAGGATTGTGCTTCTTGGAGTTGAAGATACCTGGAAATTTATGGCAGGAAACAGAATTCTGCGAGGAGAATCTTTATTTCCCCCAAAGGAGGTACTTAATTCCTTCCTCAAAAAGTAGGAACTGAAGCACTAGAATATCACTTGCTTCATTCCTCTATTGTATGTAAAAATAACACAAACAATGCAGCTACTAGAGATTGACATAACTGTTGTTGTTATGTGTAGGCATTTGAAATTCCTACAATGCCAAGAAGTAGTAAATGTGTGATGAAACAGAGTAAAGTTGGAGGATGTCAAGTCTCTGTGGTTGACACTCCAGGCTGGTCAACATCAACTCAAAATGCAAGAGAAATTTTAAACAGTGTGACCATTTGTTCACCAGGTCCACATGCATTCCTGCTAGTGCTGCCTGTAAACGAGGCTTTTACAGAGAAAACTAAACAATCAGTGATGGAGCTCATGGGCCTTTTTGGAGAGCGTGTCTGGAGACATACTCTAATTTTTTTTTCAATGGTACACTGGCTGAACAACAGGCCTGTTGAACACTTCATTGCATGTGAAGGAGAAGCCCTGCAGAGATTAGTAAAAAAGTGTGAAAACAGATATTTTGTTCCAATTAGTTGCTGCCTGCTAGAAGATCTATGCACCTCGATAGGCACTAATTTACACAAGGCGATAAAAGTGATGGTGGCAAGAAACAGAGGTGAATACTTCACTCTAGAAAATGAGAAAAGCAATCCAATGAAAACAGTATCCCAGATACTGACTGAAGAGGAGTGGAACAGACGAGAGGATGAACTTATAAAGAGGATGTTGAAGGCAGCAGTGGTGGATCTAAAGCGTGAATCCAAGGACACATCTCTCAGACAAGGGACAACTGCTGACCATCTGGACTCTCCTTGTAAGTTTGCTTTTTTTTGTCACCCACACAACTTTCTTATTTAAAAAACCCTCTACCTAAATAGATAATAGCCTGAATATTTGTATCTAATCAATCCTTAAATATTTGTAACTAATCAATCTGCAATTAATCAAACATTTCGTGATAGTGATACTGACATGTATCCACAGTATATAAACAAATCACCTAACAACAAAAATCTTTGTATTTCCCATGAATGCAGATTGCTTGTCTGACAGCACCAGTTTATTTGAAGATGACACTCCGAATCGTTCTGAGAAAGTATCTCACTGGCTCTCACATGCAGAAAATGCAGCAAAAGCAAACTATATTACAATAACCATTAAAACAACGTGTAAAGACCAAAATATGGAGAATGTTGAAGATGATATTTCAATGCTGCCCAGATGCCTTTCCATTGACAGCACTTTGAAATATGTCAGAAATGTGAAAGAACAAAAACATGCAAGATCATTTTCAATATGAAGTATATCAACTATATTAGGTGAATTAGCTAATTAAAATGTTAAAAATAAGTGTAAATAACTTTGTATGATGAATGGCATAGTTGTGAACGTATAATGTTTCAGTGGAATGACAACACAGAAAACAGAAATGAGTGTGCCATCAGGAAATTCAAGTCAGAGAAGGAAGAAAGGAAAGAAAAAGCAGAAAGGAAGATGAGGCATGATGTTGAATCTGGAGCAAAATGTAGATGCAGGGTATAAAGCTTTATATACACATTTATATATTTTTTTAAATATGGTCTCAATTAAAGTGTTTAGACAAAACAGACCGGAAAAATGGTTTAAAATATTTACATGTTACTCTTATTCATTCATTTTGTTAGCCTGTTAATTGCTGCATTTGTTATAGTTACATTTTAACATGTTGTAGAGTCAACATAACGTGTTCTATCAGTTGTTTTGAAACTTAAGCATGAACTGCGCGAATGCATGAATATTAGTCATAGCCTTGGCTATATGTTTGAGAGTTTGCTAAATATTCTGTTGAAACAGTTTGTTTGATAAAGTGTTAATAAACAAAAAATAAAAAATAAATAAATGTGTTTTTATCATTTCTAATTAAGATGCAGGGTCTTTCCATGATCTTTTGATATGTAGGTCATTGTACTATAAAACATCCTTAAGTTTCAGAACTCAATCAAACTCATCAAACTTTCCAGAATGAGACACAGAATAAATAAAGAGAAAAAAGCAACTGAGCACATACCCTGATAAGACACCCAGGACGAGGTTAAGCATGAAGAAGGAGCCGATGATGATGAGAGGGATGAAGTACAGCCAGTTCCAGGTGTTTCCCGAGGCATCATTGGCCTGTGTATAAACAGATGCTGTGAGCAGTGGTAAAGAAGAATGAATCTCATTATTTTTGACTACCATACTCCATATAATCACCCACTACTAGTATAATTCAGTCAAAATGACAATTCTCATCATGTACATTTTGTTATTATTATTTTTTCATATGACAGCTTAGTGTGAAATTAAATTTTACTCAATGTTCACTGATAATGTCTTCTTAAGCTTTGATGTGTTCATGACACAAGTAGCCGTGTTTGATTCATGAGAGTGAAATGATGACACATCTCCTTTTAATATGTCTAGGACATTTCAGGACAAAATAAACAAAATCCTCATATATAGGACTATGCAATGCATTTTAATGACATCATTCAAGTTTTGAAAGTCTAATGCAACATAATTACGGTAATTACAAATTCACTCCTACATGCATCTACCAAGGAACTATGGATGACGCTCTTGAAGCCCTGGCAATGCCTCAGGCTCACATTAGAACCACAGCCTAATGCAATAAGAAGTTTAAGAAAAGGGAAAGTAATTTGGAATTAGGTTTTGATATGTAGGTCATTGTACTATAAAACATCCTTAAGTTTCAGAACTCAATCAAACTCATCAAACTTTCCAGAATGAGACACAGAATAAATAAAGAGAAAAAAGCAACTGAGCACATACCCTGATAAGACACCCAGGACGAGGTTAAGCATGAAGAAGGAGCCGATGATGATGAGAGGGATGAAGTACAGCCAGTTCCAGGTGTTTCCCGAGGCATCATTGGCCTGTGTATAAACAGATGCTGTGAGCAGTGGTAAAGAAGAATGAATCTCATTATTTTTGACTACCATACTCCATATATTCACCCACTACTAGTATAATTCAGTCAAAATGACAATTCTCATCATGTACATTTTGTTATTATTATTATTTTTTCATATGACAGCTTAGTGTGAAATTAAATTTTACTCAATGTTCACTGATAATGTCTTCTTAAGCTTTGATGTGTTCATGACACAAGTAGCCGTGTTTGATTCATGAGAGTGAAATGATGACACATCTCCTTTTAATATGTCTAGGACATTTCAGGACAAAATAAACAAAATCCTCATATATAGGACTATGCAATGCATTTTAATGACATCATTCAAGTTTTGAAAGTCTAATGCAACATAATTACGGTAATTACAAATTCACTCCTACATGCATCTACCAAGGAACTATGGATGACGCTCTTGAAGCCCTGGCAATGCCTCAGGCTCACATTAGAACCACAGCCTAATGCAATAAGAAGTTTAAGAAAAGGGAAAGTAATTTGGAATTAGGGAGATTTTTGCAGCAGTTGCATCCCCCTACTGTTCTGAGACTCAAGGCGGATGCTACAGCTCCAGCTTCAGCTGAAGACAGACTGATGGAGGCCTGTAGAGAGAGTCAGAGTTACATGAGATGTTTCACATGGGTTAAACTTCTCAATGACCCTCTGCTGTAGCCTGGCTCATGTACAAATGAGATGCCACTTGTTGTCACTTCTCTTCTCAAGTACACATCACTTTTACCTTCATTGCACTCTTAAACATGGTACACTATAAGAAATAAATTCGTAAAATAACAGAAAAAGTAATGGGAGCTCATTACCAGGACATTTTTCATTAATTTTAATGGACAAAATTTATTTTTATCAAAAGATTTAACGCAAAGAGGTGTAAAATTCAAAATACAGGTAAAATGGCTGAAATATATATATATATATATATATATATATATATATATGAAGAGTTGAAGGTGCTTTTGCATTTGCAGTGCTTTGAGCTCTCTCGGCCACCGTACAAACCTCTGTAACAGGTCTATACCAGCAGCCCACATAGAAAAACTAAATCATCTGCCCTTGACAGATGTCTCCCTTGTTCAAAGTGAAGTTTTGCAGAGAAATCAGAAATAGCAAAACCTCAGGGTTATGAAACTGTTGTGAAAGAGTCATCACTTGATTTAAAAGTTTGATGTAAACACCAGCCAAGGCAATTTTGCAAATAGAAGACAATAATGTCTGCTAGATGAAGCATATCTGAGATAGGCCAATAACAACATATGTTCATAGTCCAGAGCTACTTAACAAACAGCAACAGGGAGAAAATGCAGCCAAGAAGGTCTGTGAATTTGTAGATTTATTTTATCACAACGCAAAGGCTGCTTGCTTTCATTTAACAGTCTCAAAAAAAAAAAACTTGACCACTAAATCCATGAAGAAATAATACACAAAGTAAAAAATTTATTTTTCCCTCACAAATTTGAACAAAAAACAGATGGCAAAAATATGACAACGATTAGATATAATATATTAGAGGTGTGAGACTTTTGAAGCAACTACAGTACAAAACGGGAGCAAAAACAAAAAGCATATTAATCATATTCCCCTTAATCTGTTTCACTGTGACATAGTACTTTATCTAATTTGTCTTTTTTTTAAGCTTCCCCATCCTTAAAGGCTTTTGTAACACTTCCTAAAAACCCAGTGTGCAAAGATACATCTTCTATTCAATCTATCAACACTGATTGTCATAATGCTTTATTTAGCATTATGCACAGTCAACTGAATAAAGTGTCAGATCAAGTAAGTAAAGTGTAATATTTAAGTGTAATAAGTGTACAAACTATATTATAAGCTAAGCTATTATGCAATCATGATGGCCATATATCTTTTTCTTTCTCTTCCTCTCATTCCAAGATCATTCCCAACTGTGGGGTGAATTCAGAATTTATTTGATTTGATTTTGATTCACTAAATGAATTTTGTGGTGTACTTTACTGAAACTGTACAGCATTGGTGCAATATTGTAATCTACACATCTGAATCAGCTATTTAAAATGCTGGAAGTGTCTTGACTGCACTGATGGTCTGGATATATGCCTAGACAAAATGTTTTTCTCCATCATTTGATCATCATTCAATCATTATTGCTGCTGCACCTTTTTGGGCATACACATATGCCATTATTAGTTATAATGAAAGCCACTGGCTTATGATGCAGCATTATTTTAGAGCATTAACTCCTGGTTAAACTGGACTGCAGAGTGAAAAAGACACATGCATTTCCATCTGTGCATATTTTTTACTGGCACTGTAATAAGTTATATCCAAAAAGGGGAAGGAGAAAGAAGGGGAAAGCCTGAATAGAGTCAATCTTTAGAGTTGCATGCATCCAAATATGACTGTACTCCATCCTGCTCACAACGGGCTATTTTTAAAGATGTTTAATGAGCTCAGGGATGGGTCTGACAGCCCAGGACGGCTGGCTGACAGGGTCAAGGTGCACAGAGGCCTGGTGACTCAGCCTGTAGTAACAAGACCAAAAACACTGATTACACCGACACACACACACACATACACTGGCTACTAGAATATAGCATGACAGCTGCTGAATGACTATACATTTTAGTGTAACATAACAATTAACTGATGGTCTCAGAGGGGTACAGAACCCATAATGTCTCATCTTGGGCAGCATGCATGCTCTTATACGCCAATAAATGACATCTTATCACGGCCCAGTGGGAGTTGACTGTTTTATAGATGAGTTAATGGTACAAATGCTTGACCAGAAGGTAGATTTACAATAATTAAAGATGCTGTAGGTAGAACAACATTAAGATTAGAATAATTTAAAATCACCACAAAGAGGCACCTCAAAATTATTTCAGAAATTAAATGAGGCCTTCCACAAGCATTGTTTTGTTGAAAAATCCAATTTTCAGGAGCAGTGATTGAAGGAAAACCAATCTAGCTTCTGCCTATTTAATGCTGAGCTGCATTCAAAGTCGGACGTGGGTTATTCCTACTTCTTCTGAATAAAAAGGTGTTCCATTGCTCAATGGATAACATGCATGTAAGGAAATAAAATGGCAACGCTACAGCTATCTTCTATGATGCTATGCAATGCAAGCATTCATACTGCAGGTGTACAATTATGAATATAAAGTTCTTGTTTTCCATTCTTGTTTCTGCAAAGGTTTGCTAAACTGAATTTATTATGTATTGTAGAAACTTAGACTTAATTTGAATGCAGTTGCAGCCATTTTATTTGCTTAAAACTGAATGTTTATCTTTAATTTCTTTACAAATCTCCTTTCACTCCTATTGGCCTAACTCCTTTAATTTCCTTTTAACAAAGTTAAAGGTCCAAATTCAAATGCCACTCCACTTTTCTAAGTAGGTAGTTGAAAATGAGCAAGATTTTGACTTCCATGAGACAAGAAAGTGTTAAAACAACTGGCACAATTATAAAAACAATTATATCAAATCTTAATTAATAATAACCAAACTGTGTGATTGTAACTGTATTTATCTTTCTAAAACACAACTGAAAAATGTATTCTGCATTCTAATACAGCCAAAGTGACAAAAATAACATTTGTCATTTCAAAATACTCAACATTTTAATACAATTAATTATACAAACAAATATAAAGAAAAATAAAATTTTAAAATGATAAAAGGTGTATAAATTTTACTATAAATTAAAAAAAAATCCTCAACAACAACAGCAACATCTCTCCAACAGGTAGTGTTGCTCCACCACAGGGGATCTGACCAGAATCCCCAAACAAGCATGACACAGCAGTGGTAATTAAGCAGAAAGCGATTAATCTCTAGCACAGCGAGAGCGTAATAAAACTAACAGGCATGAAATGAGGACTGCCATGTCATTAGCCGAGGACTCCGCCCCCGCTGCCTTTTTTGGGCCGGAGCTCATTATGGGTGGGGATAATGTACCAGTGAAGCTCCTTAGGTTGTGAAACTTACACTAACATCTGGCCCTCTGACTGTCTGTCATTTATTGAGCTACAATGTGATGCTCAATAGAGAAAATATTTTTCAATTTAGACACAACCAGTTGTGTTTAGGTGGGATTTGAATCATAGAATATGAATCTATATCACAGTGTCATGGTTTTGCTGCATTGGATGAACATACATTATGGGATATGAAAGAAAGAATTTATGCATATAATCAATTACAGACAATCCCATTATTCCATTGTGCCATTCCATCACAGCACCACAAAGACATCAATCCAATGCGTCACAATCCAGCTACTATGACATATGCAATCTAGAAAATGGAGTGCTGCTATTATTCTTATTTCATGATGTGATCCATCCTGGATTCCAACCATAAATAACATCTCAAAAAACAGCATATCACACAATGTCTTCCATAGCACTTGGCCTTAAAAAGTATTCAGAACACCGGTTTCTCTGACTTACTAAGAGAGAGGCTGATTTTAGACTTAGCACTTTTTCTATACATTAACTAGATTGCAGTGGCAAATAATATACATGTATATATATTTTATGTAATTTATGTCTGTACAAAATATAAAAAACAAGCACGATACAAGATGTTTTTTATTCATCTCAAAGATGGAAGAAAACTTCAAACTTGCTTCTGGCTCGCCGTTGAGAAATGGCACTCATGCAGGTGACTTCTGGGAAAGATCTAAGACTTATGATGAACAATATACAGTGGGTATAAAAAAAAATAATCACCTCCCTTTAAAATAATAACATTTTGACATAACATTCCTAAAATGAAGACGAACACAGTTTTTGTTTTGACACAATTTTGACACAAGGGGGTGATCCTTTTTCCAACTCAGTGATTCAGTTTTTTTATTTATTTTATTTTTTTCTGACATATTGGTGTTCTATCTTAGTGACTTCTGGGAAAGATCTAAGACTTATGATGAACAATATACAGTGGGTATAAAAAAAATAATCACCTCCCTTT